TGGTAAAGTCAAATGCACTCTTTGCAAAATTTGTATCCAGTGCACTGAATTGGCTTTTAGACCCATCTGAAACTGCGGATTTTGTACCATCCTCATTTCGCCTTTTTGCCCATGTAAAGCCACTTGCTGCTGAGATTTGTGCACCAGAAGATAATGTACTATCTCCCTGGGATGTGTTCAACTCGCAATTCTCTGAAACTGTATCGAACGACGGTTTTAGAGACTCTCGGCGCAGAAGACCTCCTTTTGCCCTCAAGATAAGTGGGTTGCTACGAGCAGATTGAGTATTATCATCTTGCTCATCCTGCACAGTCAAGGATAAATCATTCAGTTAAAACTGGCTTGCTTCTTGCTTCTTCCTTCTATAACACAAAAACACAGATACACATGCATGAATAGAGATAGAGAAACACCTCTTTTGGTGCTAACTTAGCGGAATTATTTGACTCTTGCAAGGTCTTACGAACTCTCCTTGGCTTCCTTGATGTCTCTCGAGCTCGAATACCAGGCCTTTTCCTGACAACACAAGTTATTCAACACAATTAAGTTGTCAGAGAATGTAGAAATGCAGTCATCTAAGTACCCCATAATTAACTGCAGCATTAAAGCATTGTCTTAATGTATGAAGTATTATACATTTGAATCCGGTTCTCAGTAAACTTCATGACTCAAAACAGAAATACCTGAGTCCTATAGATAGATCTGAACCACAACCTCAATTGAAATGTTTATGAATGAAGAATTTACCTTTGCGAGTCTTCACGACTTTTGGCATCCATTTCTTTGGTAGGAGGATACTTAGGCAAATGAGAGGGATCACATGCATAAGGCCTTGTTCTGAAGTACTGGAGGAAAATATCCATGATAAAGAATTGAATCAGCAAAGTTAGAACTTCTGTTAGCTTTAAGAATGTCTCTTTAAACAATGTCCAAAGGATTTGCCATGTACAACTACTTAGGAAAGCTAACTTGTGCCAATGTTTTGAGCTCTATATTGAAATTCAGAATTTTTGCATTGAAGAAGATGTTTCTACAGAGATCATGTTTTCATAACCATTACCTCAGCCATAAGGGCAGAGGAGGCAGTCCCGCGCTTGTAAGGTTCTACTGAAAGAAGATTTTCTAGCATGTCCACTGCAGTTGTCGGAAATTCTGTACACCTCTCCCTAAGAGAACTCTCATAAGAATACTGAGGTTTAAACATGGTTGCATGAGGAAGCTTTGACGCTTTCCAGTATTCTTCTGGTGGAGAGCCACAAAGCTTGAAAATTTTGTGTAATTGTTCAACCTGTAAAATGAGAGGGTGGTTGTTAACTTCATCTGTCAGATAAGTACAATCTCGAAGTATCATAGTCCCTTGGAAATTAAATAAAACAGCATGAGAGTCTGTTAAGTGCTAGAAACTGAGACGCTAGTTATTAACTTCATCTTGAATTCTAAATGCCATATTGCTTATGAGGATTGTATATTAGCATACAATAAGGCAAAGGTTTTATAAATACATAAACAGAGGAGCATTGTGCTTACCTCAGTTCTCCCTTTAAGGATAGGCTTCCCAAGAAAAAGTTCTGCGAATACACAGCCGACACTCCATAGATCCACAGATACTCCATACTCTGTTGCCCCCATCAGAAGCTCAGGTGGACGATACCACAAGGTCACCACACGACTGGTCAGCGGTTGCTTGTTCTTGGAGTTAACGACATTCGCCAATCCAAAATCTCCCAACTTTAGAATCCCGTCATTGTTTACCAAAATATTTGATGCTTTGATGTCTCGATGCATAATGCCTCTTAAATGACAGTGCTCGACTGCAGATAATAGCTGCCTCATATAACATTTAATCTACAGAAACAAAATTGAACCAAAATTATTGACTTGTATGGTAGAGAAAAAGAAGAATGTTTTGACAAAGTTGTCTACTTGTACTGCAGAAAATGCTTTGATAACAAATACTGTTTCTGCAAAACTTGCTAAAGGAAAGGAATTAAGCAAGAATCTAACCTGCATATCACTGAATTTGATGTCAGAACTAGCTACTAGTCCAGCAAGATCGTGTTCCATGTACTCAAATACGAGGTATATGCTACTCGATGATTGAGATGTTATTATCCCCTCCAATTTCATGATGTTTGGATGATCAAGCCTACGAAGAATCATAATTTCTCGTGCCATAAACCTAATGCTCTCCGGCTGATAATTGTCAAAACGCACTTTCTTGAGTGCAAGAATCCTCCCTGTTTCAACTTGGCGTGCTCGAAACACGCTGCTGTACGTACCTTGTCCAATCTAAATGCACACAAGCAATTGGAAAGAACTATTGTCAAAAATCAATAAACTGTAAGCAAATGCAAGATTCAAAACAATGTGGGCAGAGAATCAGCTATATATAGCACATTTCAAAAACTAACATGCATGTGAGGCCATAATCATAATGATTCACTTGGTATTGAATTACACCAAAACAAAAATCTCATTGCAAGATTTTGAAGACTTGTACATTTAAACAAACTAAAGATGGGAACTTTCAATTTGAATTGAATCAATCAGATAGCCAATTCATTGGCAAATATTGGATGCAGAAAACATCAGCCTGGAATCTAATGTGATAGTTGTACAAAAAAAGAAGCAAAAGAACAGAGCATGAGTTGCCAAAGGTGTTACCTTCTCCAACTTCTCATAAGAATCAGCTTGGAGGGGGACCCAGCCATAAATGGCTTCACCGGCAGCGGCGCTGAGCCAGGAGGGCCAACCGGCGGCGACTTGCTCAGCCTCCAAAGACGATCGATTAGAAAAACCCAACCGGAAGCTAAAACCGCTGCCTTTCCCGCCATTATGACTATTGTGACTATTATAACTATTTAGAGACCCCTCCTTCTCCTTCTTTGGCTTCTTCAACTGAATCAACTCTCTGCTCCGATCCTCCGACTTGTCCTGATGTTGAATGTCCTTCTTACTGTTGGTTTTCTTAAATTCGGAAGAATTTGAATTAGACTTAGATTTTGATTTGGATTTGGATCGGTTGATTTTGCTGTTGTTATTGGTGGTGGTGGCGCCGCTGTTCTTCAGGGAAGAAGAAGAAGGCTCCAGAACGACGGAGCCATTGTAGGCCACGGCGGCCGAGTACTCGAAACAAGGAGACTCCGAGGCAGCCGCCCGCTTCGAGCTGATGCAACCCATTCACCGCCGCCAAATCCCGCCAGCATCGATCGATCGGAAAAATGTGGGGTGGCGGAAGATCGACGGCCGAGATCGGGAGATGGGTCGATAAAGGGAGGTTACTCCTACAGCATTACGAGCTCAAAAATGGGTTTGCATACGAAGCCAAAATTGGGGGAGGGACAATAATGGGAGGCTTAAGCCCTCGGGAGAAAACAGAGTCGCCATTTTTGGGTGGTTTTTTAGGTGTTTCCAATGAGTCCTCGGTTTTTGCGAAATGTGCGGGAGGATTATGAGGATGCAATGACCAACGGTCCGCAACCAAAGGAGGACAATTACAGAAAGAGAAAGAGACGACGACAGACAACAACATTGATTTCTACATATACATGCGTGGGTCCTAACCTGTTTCTTCATCTTTCTCTTTCTTTGTGTCTTTTTTGCTTTGCTCTCATTTTTATTTTATATTTTTTTTGGTTTTGTAATTTTACAAAAAAGGAAAAGATGGGATGTTGGTTGTTCTGTTTTTATTTTCTACCATTTGTTGCTTTCATGGTTTGGTGTTTGGTTGGACAAATGGACACAGTCGCACAGAGACACTGAGAAACAGGGAGAGAGAAAGAGAGAAACTAAGAAACTTTAAAGAGAGAAAGCGAGTGAGTTGTGGAGTTTGTGTCATGACTGTCATTCATGGGGTGAGAGGTGAGGGTGGTGATGGTGGTTGCAGGCCAACTGCCCAACAGCCCCACTGCACTGCATGATTGTATATCCAGAAACAGAGTAGATATTATTAGTTTTTTGGAACCCTCCCCTGTTTTTTTGTACATGCTATTCATTTTGGATCTTCGGCTCCACTTTAGACTGAAAAAAGTAATAAACAAATAAATAAAAAAGGCCCCACCTTCCTAATCCACATCAAATTGTTTCTGTATAATATAGCTCTCTGTTACCGATTCAATGAACTCAGTTTATGTTTGATATAAACTTTGGACCAAAGTACATTTGGATAAAGAACTTTGGTATGTCGGTCATTGTTCCTCCAAACAACTGGTCAACATTTTGTTTGAAGGCTGCGCTAAATTTATGAGTTGGGGTGTCACAACAATTTCTAAAATTAGTCGTTTCTTTTCTCAATTATGCAAATATGTGCTACGCAGTGTTTTAAAAGAGGCTGAAGTATACGAAGAAGAACACAAGACACTTGATCCGTTTGATATACAAGTAAATTAGAGCTCGTTTAAGAGTGATTTTGGTCGTTTGGGAGTGATTTTGGGAGGAACAAAATCACTTATGGCGATAAAAACCACCCCCATATTTCTCCATATAATCACTTTAAATAGTTTTAAAGTGATTTTATGAAGAAATACATGAGAAGTGATTTTCTCCATAATCGCTTAAAATCACTTCAAATGATTATTTGCCTATTTAAAATCACTCCTAAACAAGTAGTTAGAGCTATTAATTTTAAATCTTTCTTTGTTGCTTCCAAATGCATGGTTGTAAACTTTTGTGATATGGTTTTCGAAACAAACATGACGATGCAATTAAAACTTGGATCTCTAACCAAATCATGGAAACCAAACTTATTCGATATGTGAAGCCACATCTTCAATGTGCAGGCAGTCAACATACAAACAAAGATCATATGGCAGATGAGTTGGCCCGCCTCCTCAACTTTTTGCTTTGTGCCAGTCATAAAACAGCCCACATAGGCATGTACCCAAAAGTAAAAACAGCACATAAACGCAGAGAAGTAATAAACAGGATGAAGAACAGCCAGTCAGCCAGCCTTGCTTTGTGCCGGTCAAAAAACAGCCCACGAAAAGAAGCCCACATAAGCAGAAATAAACAAGACTAAGAATATATTAAAAGTAAATTTATACATGAGTAGGTATACTTGTATTCCCATTTCAGTGTGAAATAATTCTATACGACCCTATTTCTGCATTCAAATTTACAAATCATGTAGGGCCTACAGCAAAACTTTCTGCATTTTATCAAAACAGATCACACACCAGCAACAATCACCACGCAAAAACCTCTCTAGGCCTTTCTTTATTTTCTGTATTCATTCATTTTGCACAATGTTAGTTGGTTGGACTTGACTGCTCACCTTTACTTCCATAATCAATTTCAGCGGAGCATTTTACACAAAGATTTGCTCTTCTTTTAGCTGTAGAAGTACTGGTCTCTGGTCATTGTTTCCAAATTCTCTCCCTTTAAGAAGGGGATGCTTCTCTGCCACAACCGCCAGTGGTTTTAACTGTGATACATTGTTATTGGCTGTGTTGTGGCTGCTGTTTCTAGCTGCTGGAACATCATGGTTATGTTTCCCCTCGTATGTAGTGATGACAGCTTTGGGGTCAGTGGAAGCTCTCTCAACATGCTTACGGACATTGCACCCCGCATAAGTGCATTTGTAATAGCTTCTGTTAACGCACTTGTATCAGAAACGATGCTCATAATAAGGAAACCATATCTCAAGTAGAAAGAAAAATATTAGAGAATAAATTATTCACATATTGTTTAAAGGTATGCTAGGCAAGTGACTCTCTAAGATCAGAAAGTAATTGTTCCTTAATTAATGGCTTGCTCCACATCAGTAATCGAGAGTTTATCCCACACCTCAAAAGTTAATTTCTAAGTCCAATGGTTCATGATTTTACCTCCATCTATCAAATAGGATACACAATAAAAGAAAGTGTGAAGAATTTTTAGAAAACTTTATATCCTTTTTTAACTGGGGCCAAAAATGATGCCATCCTAATGCTTAATTTATAGGATCTTAAATATAAACATGTCAGAAACAATTTAGAGAAACCATCCTAATTCCATTTGCATAATGCAATCAGTAGAACTGAAAATAAGCAAAGATTCATATGGAGAAAGTTTCCACCTTGGATGAGGATTCCCTTTGACCACCTTCTGTCCATACTTGCGCCACCTGTAGCCATCATCTAGAAGATCGACTTCACTCCTTGTTTGCACAATGATTTTTGGTTCTGTCACTGTCTTGTGTGACAAAGCTACCTCAGATGCCCCAACATCTATGTTCCTGCACTCCCAGACAAGGAGATTTTAACGTTAAGACGAAACAGAGGAGAAAGTATCCTGTGATTACATGAAATGATTGGTTTTGAAAATACCTTCTCTTTGGATTTGGTTCATCAGCATCCCCCTCTTCTCTAATTTCCCCATCGCGTAGCTCTTCACTGTCACTTGCCCCTGGTAACTGTCCAGGAGCAGCTTGAGTAGATTCTTGATGCCTCTCGGGCATTGAGTGAGAAGCTATATTTTCACTAGACCCGTTTGAATCTCCAACCAATCTTTGTAATCCATTTTCAGGCCTAGGCTGCGAATGCAAGTGTCCATTCAGATCACCACCATCTTTTCCACGTTTAGGTTGAGGGGCTTCATGGTTATGCTGCCCTTTGTATATAATCTCAGTTATTTCGCCATTAGGAGAACGCTCCACTTTCTTTTTGACAGGGCAATTCAGATGTGTGCATTTGTAGTAACTTCGAGGATACTCACTGCCCTTAACCTGCTTCTGCCCATATTTCCGCCAGTTGTAGCAATCATCTGCAGGCCTATCAGTGGCCACAGATGAAGGTTGGTATTTCCTATCAGAATGAGAGGCCTCGGATGATTGCCTCATGGAACTTCTATGGTCAGATGTTGAAGGTAATGTCTGCTGTTGAGATGCTTCATTGGGCATTATGGATGGATGATATGCCTGTGGCTCTGTGGGAGCTCCTACTGACGAAGGTTGATATTCAGCTTGCATATGCATACGAGATTGGGCTAGTGCAGTAACCTGCGCCAAGGCCTGCTGGTGTGATATTCCAAATGGACTCTGCACCAATATGAGGAAAAATTCATGAATACCTGATGCTAATACAAGTCATCCAACTTCAGAAATCATACTATATTGCATAGAAAGACAATATGGTACGAAGCACCAATAACAACATATGTTCCATATGGTCTGTCGCCAATACATCAATATATTGAATGGCTTAGTTATGTAGATCACCTCTTTATCAGCTTCAAGGTTCTATATGTTTAACCATAGTTGAAGGAGCCTTTAACAAATGTTACACGATGCCGAGTAGAAAAGATACTTACCTAAGCAAAATTTTGACTTTTGACAATATGTAACCTGTAATAGGGGCATGCACATACACACACATGACACAACAAACTAAACAAATTCGTCCACCAAAATTGGTCACGATTGTATCTTTAAAGTCCCATGCTACCCATGTGTCCTTTTTATATGAGACACATCATAGTTAGCAATCCTTAATCGGGGATTCTAACCACAGAGCAAGAATAAACTTATGACCGGAGTGAAATAATACAAACTAGGACCAACACTCAGGGAAAATAGGCATTAATTTTGTTGCGGCTATAAATGCACGATTTTCACACAGTTTTTGTGAATGGCAGAACCTGAGGGCCTGATTTGTTGTTGGATGGTAGTTGATTTCTTCAAACTTTCCTTGTATACAATATAATTATGTGAAGAAATCCATCATTTCTTCAAACTTTCCTTGTATACAACACAATTTTGGGAAGAAATTCATTATTTTGCATGGGGTATCAGGAAGGGCCAGCCATTATCATCAAAACAAAATTGTTGTAAAGAAAGCACCTTTGACCAGCCCATCATTGAGTAATAGCTTCTGTTAATACTCAACAACCACCCCAATCATATCCTCAACCCACAAATGTACACCCTTTGAGCACAAGAAGCATTCCACAAGTACAAAAGAAGCACCTTTGACCAACCCATGTTCACAAAATCACACAAGTACATAACCATTGATCAACAGTTACTAATCAAACACACACAAATACCGAAAAAACAGAGCACACCCAGTATTAAATATAGCAGTTGGAGAGCTTTTGTAAACTTACCGTAGGTGAAAAGAAGCCAGGTGAGTTAAGCAACCCAGAGGGACTCAATCCAGGTGGAACAGTGAACAATGGCGACCGAGCCACCATCAAATTCATAGGCCTACTCTGCTTAAACCCAGAATTGTTCTCACCGCCATTTTCAGAGCCTCCTTCTAATTGGGCCGAACCATCAACTGGGTTTTCGTTAAATTGGATTGGCCTTGTGGAACCCATAGGCGAGCCCATGGCTCCGGCCAGGAGCTGAGAGAAGGACCTGTACTCTGAGTCAGGGTATGTGTCGGGGAAGAAGCTTGAGACCAGGGTCATCGGACCCGGGCTGGCTCCAGATCCGCCGCTGAAAAGGGCCTCGGCGGAAGGCCTCGGTGGCAGTGTTATGACTGGTCTTTGCGGTTGGGGTGATGCTGAAACTGAGACTCTCTCAGAGTCTTGGTTTTTGGCCATTGATGCTATATCAAGGAAGCACCTTTTTTCTCTGTCTCTGTCCGAAACCCTCTGTTTTATCTATCTCTCTGTAACTCTCAGTTTTTCTCTCTCTATTCCCGTGTTTCTTCTGCAACTGGTTTGTGTTGTGTTGCTTGGTTTTGCTCTTCAGAAAATTAGTTGGGTTTTTGGTGGTTTCGTGCTATCCTGAATTTTCAAGTGGAAAGTCCACGGAGCAGAAAATTGACAATGACAATTTTCTTTGTTTTTAAATTTTTTTAAATTTTTTTTAAATTCTTTTTGCTTTGTAATGTTTTTATTTAGAGGCTGTTTAGTTAATTCCAAATGGCAAATTGCTCCAAAGTGAAATTCAGACAGAGACAGATAGACATATAGATGGGACTTTAATCTTTGTTTGCCCTTCATGACCGGCATCTGGGTCATGACAAGGGATGCCCAACACAACGAAACATTAACGCAATAGACTCTGTCTATGGATGTTAAGCTTAGCTACTCTTTGCCTTTAACCACTCCTTTTTATTGTTTTTTCTTTTCTATAATAGGAACTCCTTGTATTGTTTGTGACTATCCAACTATGATTGATAAGTGAATTGTTCCCATTTTGAAACCCATACTTAAAGAAAATCAAACAATATAACTCGCAATCGCTTCTAATTTTGAATATGTGACAAACTTATACCGAAAATAAAACTTTGCATTCTAATTAATTAACATGTATATGTGATGTGAGATTGTGAAAATCTCGATGTATTATAGTTGAATTTGAAATAAGACAATTTGAATGAAATTAATCCAAAAAAAAGGAAAGGAAGATGGGTTTTTAAAATTAGAACGCGTTCATGATTCGATTCTTGTAATAAAAAAAAATTTTGAGAGATAAAAAATAAAAAAACAAAAAAAAAACAGTGAAACCAGTTATAATACGTGGAGAGAGATGCTATCGTGGCAAACAGGGACGATATAGTAAAACACCATTAAATGGTAATAAATCGCATGTAACACGCAGTTTTGTGAAAACTCAGCAACTGAGGGGCCCACGAAAGAAAATCCCGCATCAAGGTGCCGTGTGGTCCTTACAAATTTAGAATTTATTAGCTTTTTTGGCCGGAAAAAGATTTATTATTAGCCAAGCCTCCAAATTTAACTAAAAACGAGCCATCATCCACTCTAATCATCATCAATTCTGCTGGGACCCAACGGTTGTGATTATCCACAGCCAGAAAAATATTAACGGGAAAAGTATGAGATATTTCCCAGCTTTAATTTTTATATTGTCTGTCCAAATTAAATATTTTAATTTAATCTTTATCACCTCCTTCAGCACGCTCCACCTTTTTCTTTTCTTTTTTCTCTTTTTTTTTGGGTTGTATATACAGCCCACGATCATTCTTGTTTTGGCAGCCTATGCAAGCAACCGACAAAGGTTCTGACTTTAGGACATTTAATTATGAAAAATATAATTAGTAAAAGTGTTACACGGTACGTTTCCACATTTAAATTATATTTTTCAGGTTATGCATAATTGTCAAAATATTATTCCATCATTTTTTTTTTTTCAACTCAGAAGATGAATGAAGTGCAGAACATGAAAGTAAAAGAACATTCTAGTAGTCTTATATTGACAGCATAATAAAATAGACATTTACACTCTTGTTGACGTACGCAAGCTCTCAAATGTATGGAAACTTGATAAAGGTCAATTACCAAAAAACAGCTGGTGCTTGCTTGCAATGTTTGTTTTTGTTTACTATATAATGGTTTAAATTACAATGAATACGAACGATAGTCTACGCAAGCTCTCAAATGTATGGAAACTTGATAAAGGTCAATTACCAAAAAACAGCTGGTGCTTGCTTGCAATGTTTGTTTTGGTTTTTGTTTACTATATAATGGTTTAAACTACAATGAATACGAACGATAGTTTAAACTACAATGATCTGCAAATTAAGGCCATTTTTTACTATTCACGGCATGTCGGGGCTTGCAATGTTTGTTTTATTTATATATTTTTTCCTAGTTCTATGGTTTCTTCAGATGCCAGCTCCAAACTGAGATATTAATAGCCCAAGAAGAAAGGTGGGAGAGTAGTTGTATTAATTTGATTTTGGTTGTGGTGGTTGTGGGGGGCACGTATCACATACATGGATAGTCTTGTGCTATTTAAGCAGCAAGGGACATGATTGATTCATCTCCACCAAGTTTGTGCAAGTCATATTACAAATTAGTGAATTTCCGACATGAAGGGCCCAGACAAACTGAAAAAATTGACAACTTATATTTTTCTATAAAGCCTTTATTGCAATTCTGGTTGCGGAAATTCCCAACTTCTAACTTTTTTCAATGAGGGAATGGAAGTGATTTGCTGCATTCTGCAACTAGATTTTTCTTCTAAAACTGTCTTTAATTTTAATCTGAAATTACATACAAGAACAATATACACTTGTTCAACAACAATTAACTTACATTTCCTATATTTCCAATGTCCAGGAAAGAAAAATTTGGCCTGACTAGTCCCAAGACTCTCTCAACTAGTTCAAGGCTTCAAGAAAGTACAAACTGGCGCATCAAATGGGGTTATGTAGAACTGTGCAAAACCATGGATAGAAATATCCATTTCCCTCTGAAAAATTATATCTACAATGATGATGGAGTGCTCACATTCTTGTCTCATAGAAGTATGTTGTCGAGACCGCCAAACCTTCAACATCGTAAGTGCGAACCAGTCTCTGTCTCTTTCCAGGGCCCTCAAGCCAACAGAACTCCAAATGGAATGACACGGATTCTGCAACATTCTTTCCTACATCACATGGGCATCCCATGTACATACCTCCAGGCAAGAGAGTCATCTGGTAACCTCCAGCAAAGGTAACCAAATTGTCTGACTTGATACCCGTCCACGGCACAGTAGTGGTAACATCACCCGCAGCAGAGGTGGAAGTGATGCCCTGATATTATTTATGAACAGAAATTAGGGAAAATGAAAAGAGGAAGTAAAAGACTGATGCTTGAACAAAACATAAACCAACAATAATATGTATACAGTCCTTCCATTTTTCCTTTTTGGGAAATGAGTTCTTAGATCATCTAAATTTATATCAATGAGGCAAATCGGTTTAACATTCCCTGTTGTCTCGAAAAAGATTTGCTTCGAGTGGAAGATACCTGAATAATTTGGCCCTTATCATCCATCTCAAGTGATGTTACTGTATCAGCTTCAGCCATTGTTGATCCATACACACCACTTCGTTTTGTTATGGAATGACCTTTCCACTTACCAAGAAATGGAACAATCCTGTCTTTGTTTTCCTGAGTCCAATTTAAAAAAACATAATATAAGATACTGCACTCAGAAAGTAAAAATGTAATGCTAGTAAAAATAAAAAATTCCTCACTACTAGTTTTCTTTGTGAAATTTACCATATTATTGTCGAGGGAAGGAGGAAGAAGCACTCCATCTCCTCTTTCCTCAAGGAAGATGAGAAGCATTTCGACAATGCCTTTTGGGTCCATGATATGGAATGCTCTTACTCGCATATCTTTCTCTAGTGAATACAGACAACTCTCACATACAATAGAAGGCCGACGGGAAGGAAGCTTTAGATTTCTACACAATGAAGACAAATTGAAGAGACCAAGTAGTTTTAGTGTTAGTGAAACCCTTTTAGTTAGAAAAGCAATGGAGCTCCACCAATGATCATGAAAGAAAAGAAACAAAAATAGCTCAGACAAAATAATAAGAAACACCAGTGGACAAGAAATATGTGTATACACCAATTGCTACAATCCCACTGTTTAAGTTTTATCATAGAATCATGAAGAACATCTTTTGAGGGAGGAACCACTCACTTTGGTGAGTCTTCACCAGTGTCGTCTTCCCCAAGAACCCCTTGTCTTAGCACAGTTTCTAGCATGCCAGCGGTCTGGTACCTAAGAGAAAATGCTTTCTCATTGGCGAAGAATCCAATCTGCAGACTAATCACAATGGATATTCAACAGAAAACAATTGATCACAAAAACTAAGCTATAAACTATTTCACCAAGGGAAAATGATCTCCAGACACTGGTAAAACCTCACCTGTTGATATTTGTCCACAGTGAACATGTTGGTTTCTTTAATTCTGTATTCTGCCCATTCCAGCTCATCATCATCATATCCAGAAACAGATGTGCTTGATGAAGCTTGTTCAATATATAATCTACAAAGCATGACAGCATCAAGCCGTTTAGAATGGCAAAGCAAAAGTATGTGTTAGAATCAATAATATACCAAAGTTTATAAATGAATGACACTTGACACAATCAAAATATTTTATATTACATAAACAAATTTATTATTTTTTCTAATCCCTAATCTTTCCTTTTATCTTTTAGACTTTTACTTTTTAAATGTAATAAGTGGACCTGAAACTTACGTTTGAATGAGACTGATGAATTCATCTTCCCCGTAAGAGCTAGCTGACAGCTTCGTATTCACTTTATGCAGTAGATTCCCAACAGCATCAAATTGCTACAAAATCACTCAAACTAATAAATAATCTGAAATCACACAACCCACCCAGGCGCCCAGACCCGCCTAGCGCCTAGGCGGCCGCCTAGGCCGATTCTTCGAACACTTAATTCATCTGTTTGACTACCCAGAAAATGTAGGAGAAAGGAGATAAAACAGAGCAAAAAGACAAATTCAATCTCTCATTACCAAACCCAGAAAACCAATAACTCAACGAATAGAGCTAACTACATGCATTTTTCTCAGAAAGTTAAATAATTTGCCATCTTGACAAACACAACATAAAACAAAAGACTGAATTTCTCTACTTTTCTTGCATTTACTTAGCCATAGCAACCATATTTAACTCAAATTTTGTAGTGCAAACTAGATACTTACAAAGAAGGAGCCATTCCACTTGCCCAAGTTGAGGTTAACGAAGCGGCGAAGATTGTCAATGCTCATGGCTTCGTCACTGAGCTTTTGAGCTTCATCTTGTTCTGTGGTGGACGAGGAGGAGTTGGTAGCTCGGATTCTGGGACTCCGAAGTGTAAAATTGGAGTGAGAAAACGGGTCTGGGCTGTAAAGTTTTGTGGTAAAGAGTTGGATTTTGTTGAGGTTTGATGGGTTGGGAATGGGCGGCAGTGAAAGCGAACAGCAGTAAGTGGAAGCCATGTAAGCA